TCCAGCCAGTTGGCCAAGTGGTTGTTCTCCAGATTTCTTGGCACAACTTGGTGAGCACATCCAGGGCAGCATCTGTTAGTGGAAATATGTCAATTGGTATACCATCTATTCCTGTTTTATTACCCACAGAAAATTTTAAAGCTTTCTTAAGATTGAGTGGTTAAGGTAGGCTGGTCCTTGGCCTTTCCCTTTTGAGACTTCTTTTCTTTCACATCTAATATAAGTGGAATGGTGTGGCTTTAGAATGCTTCTGTGATAATAATCAGGGCCAAGGCCTCTTTGCTTTGACCTTTGGCATTCTACTATGCTTTATTAAATAGCTGATTTAGCTTGATCTTCAGAGCACCTTTACAGAAAGGAAATAACCTTGAAGCCTATATTAGAAGAACATTTGCAGATGTATTTTTTTAAAAACCCTGCTCTATTTAGCTATGCATTTTGTTATCACTTTTCATTTTAGTAACCTTACTTCTTAGATTCTTCGTTAGTGTGTTCTCAGTAGAAATAAGTGATACATCTTTGTTGACCTCGTCATACTTAGAGCAAAACTTTAAAAAGGATGAATCATCTTGAAAGTTCATTTTTTGGCAGTTCCCAGACGATACTCATCAAGCGTAGTTCTGAAGCAGTTGAAAACATACCTACTCTCTTAGATCTTTGGTCTCCTTGTCTTCTACTTAAGTTTCATACTTGTTTGTCTCCCTTGCCTGCAGCTGGAAACTACCCTTCAGAACTAACACTTGTTAGCTCATTGCTGTACTTGGAAGCAAAGTGTCTTTGAAAGACAACATCTACTCTAATTTATAATCTCTTCATTATCTTCTTGTCACATAATGAAATTAAAGTATGCATCTGCTTCTGAATTTTCAGTGTTCAAGTCACCATTTCCTTCAGAGGAGAACTACTAAATAGTCTATTTTCTCACCAAGAAGATTTCATTTTCTTTATTCTATGACAGCTCCAAATATTGCCCAGCTCTATCATGGAACTACTTTTATTAGAAACTGAACTGATGCTAAGTTCTGTTTGTTTTTATTTAAGTTGAAACCTGAGATGTAACAACCTGAAAAGTTAAGATGGCAGTGTGGGCACTGTCCCATAAGAACAAGTTAACTGAACATCTGAAGATTTAAGACAGCATAAATCTTTCTGGACAACTGATTGAAAGAGGTTCATATTTGTTCCCATCTCAAAAAAAAAAAAGGCAATCCAACAGAATGTGGAAATTATTGAACAGTATCATTAATCTTACATGCAAGCAAAATCTTTCTGAGGATTATTCAAATACAGCTAGAGGAGTACATTAACAGAAAACTGGCAGGAATTCAAGCTAGATTTAGAAAAGATCTTGGCACCAGTGATACTATTTCTGGTGTCAGATAGATCTTGCCTGAAGCAAAGAATATCAGAAGAATGTCTGTGTTTTATGTACTATGCAAAGACATTTGACTATATGGATCATAACAAATTATGGGTAATATTGAGAAAAATGAGAATTCCAGAACATTTACTTGTTTTCATGCAAAACCTATACCTAGACCAAGAAGCTGTTTGAACAAATCAAGAGAACACTAAATGGTTCAAAATCAATAAAGGTGTGCATAATAGATGTATCATCTCTCCGTATCTATTCAGTCAGATCATTCTGAACAGATTAGTCAAGAAGCTGGACTTAAAAAAGAAGAATGTGGCGTCAGGATTGGAAGACCACTCCAACAATGTGCATTATGCAAATGACACAACTTTGCTCAATGAGAGTGAGGTAGACTTGAAATACTTGCGGCAGAAGTTCAAAGACTACAGCCTTCAATATTGATTACATCTCAACATCAAGAACACAGAAATCCTTACCTGATGGGTGGCGAAAAGATTGACATTGTCAGTGATTTCATCTTACTTGAACCCACAGTCAGTACCCTTGCTACCAGAAGTCAAGAAATAAAAAAATGAGTCATACGGGGGAAATATGTTGTCAGGGACATCTCCAGAGTACTAAAGAGCAAGGTGCTCTTGATCCAAACCATAGTTTCTCAGTTACTTGCTATGCGTCTCATGAACATTGAACAGTGACTAAAGATAACAGAAAAAGAGTCAATGCCTTTAGGTAGTGGTGTTGGAGAAGCATACTGAATATTCCATGTATATTCCAGGAGTAACTAGGATGCCCCTTGAAGGCAAAGGTGGTGAAACTTCTCACCTGTTTTGGGCATGTTGTTAGGAGGGGCTGGCTAGTCCTTGGAGAAGGACATCATGCTGGGGAAAGTGGAAGGACAGTGTAAGAGAGGAAGAGCCTCAACAAGATGGATTGACGTCGTGACTATAAGAGTGGGCTCAAGAGTGTCGGAGGTGGCGAGGATGGAACAGGATAGGACGGTTCAGGTCTATTCACAGAGTTGCGATGAGTCACAGTCGACTCCTTAGCACATAACAACAACACATAGCTGTTTGTCTTGCCTGAGAATCTGCTGTTGATTGTATTTCTTGTGTATCTCTCTTTGTTTTTCCTAAAAAAGTCATGTTATTGTGCTGATCATCCCTTTGTTGAACATTGCCTTTCCCTTCACCTACCTTACTAAGAGTCTGCTATCTGTTTACTAATATTTACTTCTCTTTTTCATATTCCTAGTGACCATCCATTAATTATGTATTTTCTGTATTTCTTTGTCCTTTTGTGACTAACTTATATCATGCAGCCTAATGTGCTCTAAATTCATCCATATTATGCAGTGTTTTGTGAATTTTTAATTGGTTTTTAGTGCTTTGTAGTTCTCCATTGTGTGAAATCACCATAGTTCTGTTAACTTTGTGTGTTGATGGACACTTGGGTTCTTTCCATCTCTTTGCTATTGCGACTAGTGCTTCATTAAACATGGGTGTGCATTTATCTAGTTGTGTGGCAGCTTTTATTTCTTTAGGATTTATACCTTGTAGTAGGAATGCCTCATCAAATGGTATTTACATTTTCAACTCTTTAAGCAAGCACCATTCCTTCCATAGTGGTTACATCATTTTACATTCTTACCAGCAATGTATGAGCTTTCCAGTCTCTCTGCACCTTTGCCAGTATTTGTGGTTTATTTATGATCTTATTGAACTTACTGTTACTTGATTTGCATTTGTCGCATAGCTAATAATGGAGTTCCAGGGACATCGTCT